ATGAATAATGCGGCATATATATATACAGTGGGGAAAAAAAGTATTTAGTCAGCCACCAGTTGTGCAAGTTCTCCCACTTAAAAAGATGAGAGAGGCCTGTAATTTTCATCATAGGTATACCTCAACTATGAGAGACAAAATGAGAAAAAAAATCCAGAAAATCACATTGTAGGATTTTTAAAGAATTTATTTGCAAATTATGGTGGAAAATAAGTATTTGGTCAATAACAAAATTTCATCTCAATACTTTGTTATATACACTTTGTTGGCAATGACAGAGGTCAAATCATATATCATATCAATGACGATTTTCGACAAATACAAAAATAATAATTGCAATTGTTCAAATATTAAGAATGTTGTGTGCACATAAATTCATATTAGAATTTAAATTCTAAAAGATTTGAGTGTTTTTTTCATCTAGATGAATAAAAAAATGTCCAGTGGTGCGACCGTGATTTATCAAAACCCCTGGGTCATTCTACTTTATTACACAGAACTTAATTTCTGAACTTATTTGTTTTGCTTTCTTTGTATGTATGGATTACTTGGATTGTTACCGACATCTGGTGAAAATTTCATGTCAACAGCACCTTTAGAAATATATTTACTGAGAAAAATGGTGATGTGTTCAATACTTATGTAAATATGTAGTATAGATAATGCATATCAATTGTATTTATACAATTATACAATTGCAAAAATATAACATATGATATAGGAATAAAATATTTGATATGGATATTAAGGATATAATAATAACTGTTATTTTGGATTAAAGAAATAAAAATAATGTAAATTATGAAATGTAAAACACACAAAACCAAAACTTTCAGTCTTCCCCTACCTGACGTTTATGAAAAATCTTTTTGAAAACATAGTTGAACCTTTCACTTAACCATACTGTTATTGAGATACAACCCTTGTAACAACTTACCCCTCTATGGCGCTTTGGAGACCTTCTTAGTAGAAGTTTGGAAGCTTGATATTGCTAGATGATTTATAGATGCCTAGTAGGAATGCAGAAATACAGCAAGCCAGTATTTAAATGTTTTGACAAAGATTGTGACTTTGTGCTTCCCTGTAGGCCAGCTCTAATGAACTGACCAATGGGGTGATCAATTGTGCCTTCACGCTGCTCTTCAAGGACTCTATCCGCATCTTTGCTGCTTACAATGAAGGTGTCATTAATCTGCTAGGTAATGCATTCACCTCAGAGCAAAGATCCATGTAATTTCAGTAATTCAGTAGTTTGAGTATGCATATGAATGTGCAGCGCAAAGGTTGTTGGTCACAGCAACTTTTATATATGAATATATTATATGTCTTAGAAATATCTTTTGTACTTCAAAGAGAAATGTTAACTTGCTTTTTTCTTCACTTCAAAGAGAAATATTTTAATATGAAGAAGAATCAATGCAAAGAGGCGTTGGAAATATACAAGAGGTTTCTTATCAGGATGACCAAGCTCTCAGAGTTTCTCAAGGTGGCAGAGGTAAAACGTCTCCAGATATAATCCATGCATGGGATGGTTGGGCTCATCTTGTTCAGGCCCTTTTTTGCTAAGTGTCCCTCTTGCCTTTTGGTCCAAGAACCTGTATCAGAGGCCCCCCCCCCCCCCTCATGCTGCCTGTTCTGGTGCCTGCACTGCATGCCTTAGCAGAAAGTCTCTCTATCTATCTGTCCCTCTCAACAACAGCAAGACCAGAGCTATGACACGACTGCAACGACAGTCCTTTAATGTGCAAACGATGAGTTGAACCTTTGTTTTGCAGTTTGGATGCAGGCACAGTTGTCAATTTGGATCTATTGGATGAATAATTGCTTTAATGACAAGATAAGACACACTGCAAAGATAAAGCTTTGATTCTGTATAGATGAATGAACACCGGGCACCTTGATAAAGGACATGATATTTTTGACAACTGTGCCAGTGCGATGGTTGGAATTTAGCTGTTTACTTTTGTCTGTAAAGCCCATAATTTTGATGTGTATGGAGGCATATATTGGGGGAAAATGCTAAGCACATCCTTCTTGAGTTTTTTTTTGGTTTCTTCTCTTCTCTCTTTGGGTTTTCTCCTTTTCTTTTTTGCTTTCTGGCTGAATAATATGACTTCAGGAAAAGGGTGAAGTGCTATCCAAAAACTGACTAAAGTTGACTTTAAGAGCACATTTCTTTATTTGTATAACAATGTGTGTATGCCATTTGTTTTTCTTGTCTTTTTTCCAAAGTCAACATTAGTTGTGTGTTTCTTTTGGATGTTTCTCACCTAGTCATGTAAATATCTCACCATTGACCTACAAGTGTCTTCTCACTCACCATCTCCGCCACAACCTCAATGTCTGTGTGTGTCCATCCATCCATCCAGTCGTCCATGCTTTCGTTTTTGGTTTTCATACACTGCATGGAGTAATGGCTCTTTTTCTTAATTCTTCTTTCTCCCTTCTCCACGTGCCTTGGTTTTTCCTCTTTTTACCGTTTGGTTTCACGTTTTGTTTTCCGTTCTCCCTCCCTTCCTTTTCTTTTGTGTCACAGCAAGTTGGAATTGATCAGGTTGACATCCCAGATCTCTCACAGGTTAGTGGTGCATTTCATCTCAGTTTCTCTCATGTGGCTTCACCCTGATCTCTCATTCACGTCTCACCCCATAGACCATCATCCCCAGCCCTGATTTCTTTTGATTTCCCCCTCATCTATCAGACTTTTAGGATAGGGGCCTCAAGAAACTTACTCCATACCCGCGCACTCCCAAGGAATCAGATGTGCTGTTTTGCATTTTCTGTTGTCGCCAGAGGTAAATGGGTACCAAAGCTAGTCTATGTGAATTTTTACAGGTGCTATCTCTGATAGCCGTTGCCTTGATTATACCCACATTTGATTAGCAATGAAAAGTCAATTAAGGTCTCATTAAAGCTTAGTGCTTGCCCCTCGAGCCACTATTTCTTACTGGCATATACCCATGAGAAATTTGACGGCTTGTAATTCGAAAGCCGCGTCTTCGCCGTCTCCGACACTCGCATACGACTGCATTTACCCTCCGTGTACACACCAAGAACAACGAATGAATGAATATTTATTCACAAATGGCAGTTGGAGAAAATTATATATTATGAGTGTAAATAGTTGTTTTAATCATTATTAGATGACTATTTTGGACTTAATTATTATTGCCGCCAATTCTGCAAGGGTGTTTATTTAAGATTTAAAAAATATGGCGAAACGTCGCACTCATGGTTCATAGATTGGAATACACAACATCTGTCACATGTGGTCTGGTGCGACTTCTGGTCGGTCGTTTGTCGGAGACAGCGAAAAGGCGGCTTTACACCGATTGATATATGGCTAAATGGTGCGTGTGCGACGATCTCCGCCACGCTGTACGTGGCCAGTCTGATGTTGTGGGCACAGCTTCGATAAATAAAGAGCTCTCCTAACCTGTACACACTCACCTTTGCCATATATCTCTGTACTGGTAGGGTATTCTGCTTGGATAGCTTCTTGGGAAGACCAGTGAATGTGCACTAAACTAAAAGAATGCCTTAAAACTGGAGCTGGGGACTAAATTCTGCCTGGCACCTCATGAAGTTAATATAGTCAGCAGCACTGCCAAATATAGACCTGCTTTTCCAGCATCTCTCGACAATTCTGCCAGGGTGCCGGGCATTGACGTCCCCCTTCAGTTTGCCACCATTTGGCATATTTGACATTTTCATTTACATTGGACAGGGACTCCTGAAGGTGTTGGGCTGGCACACTAGAGTGGTACTTTAACAAAACATTTTATTGGAAGGAGTGCCTTGTTTTCTTAAGCTGAAGCAGTATTCAGAAGGCCTGCGTTCTATTCTCGAGTATTCTATCATTAGCACCATTGATTAGGCTTATTTCATGAGTCCTATTTAAGTGCCTTTTCTTGTCTGTAAGCTAGATATTCATCACGGCCTTTTGTATACTCCTGCTCCTGTAGTACCCTTGTCTTAACTTCTCTTCCTTGTTTATCTCTCCTTTAATAGTGTGTTGTTTCGTTGCATATGTTTCAGATTTCTCAGTAGAATGCTCCCTCTATTGTTTTCCTTAAAATGACACGTCTGAGAAATCTGCTCTTTTGTTATTCATGAAATTTTCTCCTCTGAATTGGCATGCACACCGGACACAGCTCGTGGCCCAAAGGCAAACGTTGTGTAAGAGCGGACGCAAGTGCCCGTGTGCCGAATCCTTTCGGCCGGCGTTTCGATTCAATTGACGTTGCTCCTTTTGGATGAAAGTGCAATACGTGCATAAAATACTGGCGGCGTGGGCTCACTCAATGCTTGCCTTTCTTTGGTTAACCTGCTTTGGCTTCCAAGTGTTTTGGGAATCCATCAAAATGGCGATGCAGACATTACAATCAGGTTTTACTCCTGATTTATTTCCAAGAAATCCAAGTGGAATCCAAAGATTAGCAGGTTCTGCTGTGGCTTTTGATACCTGTGCAGTATGTGCATTTACTGTATATCCTGTGCATGATTAGAAAACCCCCCTTGTAGGTCAGTCTGCTTTCTGTTTTTCATGGTTTTAATTCTTCTCGAGTGATCTCAGTTGACTTCACAGGTCTTAAACGGCCTGTTGGAGAACTTGCATGGGAAACAAATATTGTTTTGCATGCGTAGCTTTTAAGCTTAAGTCGTTTCCACTTGAATTACTTCTGTTGTGTTTCCCCTTTGTTTTCAGAATCTCATGACCACTATTAGGTTCTCTTAGTTACGCAGCCTTTGTGTGTGTGAAGGTATGAGTGTGTGAGAGAAAGAATAAAAATGATAGAATATAAATATATGTAGTTTTTGCATCAATTTCTAATTTTATGATTCATAGAGAGAAGTGCAAATGTTTGTGTGTTTGGGTATATATGTGTGTCATTTGCTGCTGCTGCTTTTAACCATTTTGTTGTATTGCCTAAAACCTGTGTTGCCTCATCCCTTTTCGACCTCACCACCAGGCTCCCAGCAGTCTCTTAGAAGCTCTGGAACAACATCTGGCTTCTCTGGAGGGCAAGAAAATGAAAGATGCCTCTACCGTCAGCAGGTACTTGAAATTATACTGGAATTCTGGATGCAGGTCAATGACAAATACAAACGTCAAGCCTGATGAATAGGATAAAAAATTATAATAATCTAGTTTATAAACATCTGCCAAGTTCTTGGAATTTCTTTTTCCAAGTTATTGGTACTCTTTGTATTCATAATGATTTCACACATTAAAAAAAGTTTTCAACCATCATTTTAATTTAATCGCTCGAGATCAGTGTTTCTGAAACTTTTTGACTCCAAGGTCCCTTTTTTCCCACAACATTATTTTAAAGGGGTCATATGACATTGCTAAAAAGAACATTATTTTGTGTATTTGGTGTAATGAAATGTGTTTATGCGGTTTAAGGTTCAAAAAACACATTATTTTCCACATACTGTACATTATTGTTTATCCTCTATGCCCCACTTTTCTGAAATGCGTCGATTTTTACAAAGCTCATCGTTCTGAAAAGTGAAGTGTGCTGTGATTGGCCAGCTATCCAGTGCATTGTGATTGGCCGAATACCTCAAGCGTGTGACAGAAATGTTACGCTCCTTACCATACTGTGATGTTGTGTCCCGGCATGACGAGACAATAACAATAAAACCTATTATAAACGAGGCATTTGTTGCATCCAGTGGGGACATAATTACAGATTATAATGACTTATACTGTCTTTTTACATGTTGCATTACATCGCGCCGCGTTAACATAAAACCATGTCTGCATTTGTGATCGGAGAAATGACAAACAACAAGTGTTACTCTACACTGCTCAAAACTCGCGTTTGAATCGTCAGTGGCAAATCCTTTAAATATAAAAAACGTACTTACAGTTTGTGAGGCAGAACAGCCGGCATTGTAGTCTACTCTCCCAGGATCAGGAAACAGTCCTCCATAAAATGTGTTGCACACATCTGAATATTTGGTTTGCACTGTTCTGGAACAGTGTTGTAAATACAACTTGACCACTGATTTCTAGTTGTGTCCTCTTTTGGAAGGCCAAAAAAAGTAGTTTCGCTTTCACAACGAAACACACAGCGTCTTCACAGCATGGCGGCGGCGGTAGCAGCAACAATAAAGTTACGCCTTCTTTCTTTGTGTGAACATTTGGGTGGCATTATGCAAATCTTCCCACATTGTGACATAGACATGTGGGGTCATGTTTAAACGAGGCGTTTTAGGAGGGCGTGGGCCAGTCTTAACTTTTATAAAGAATATCTCTTTGGGTTTGAGGCTTTAGTCTTTGCAATTTTAGGGATCTTATCTATTCACGAACAGCTTGTAACACTCCAAAGAGAAAGGAAAACTTGAAATCGCATCATATGACCCCTTTAAAAAAATGTTTTATGTAAATGTGATGTAATGTAAAAAAAATTAATTCAAAATCATTTCAGTTAATCTTGAGGCCCCCTTGGAAGTGGTTGAGAACCACTGCTTATAATATAAGTTGTGTGTAAAAAAATACTCCCCTTCATCTTGAATTTACACATCTTAATCTTTTTAATTATTTAATTTATTTATTTTTTAATATTGGGGTACTCTATTTGACTTGAAACAAACTTGCCTTTTCATAAAGATCTAAAAATATCTCATATAGTTTTAAAAACTTACAGATTTCATGAGGGTCAAAGACTATATTTTATAGGTCTACTTTTTATTTTATGATTTTCGTCACATGACACTTTTTAAAATAAATAATAATACATTTTTTATTATATTATTAAAATATAATTATAAAATGTAAATAAATATTTATCATATTTATATTATATTCTCTTCATCACAAAAAATAACTAAAATAATAATAAAATAAACAGTTATGCTATCTAGACATTGTAGACTTCCCACACACAAAAAAAATCTCAAAATAAATTTTTTATCAGAAATTGAAGATTTATTCATTTCTGCCACAGCATTTTAGACAAATCATGCAGCTTTGTCAAAAGTACAAATACTTTTTTTTTCTGGAAGTTGCATTCAGAATTCACTTGGCCCAAAATTAGGTGCCAGTTTGAATGGTCATTACAGTTCAGCTCATAATCATGTTGTCATGGTGATTCTGGTTCTCACAGTAAGGTTTTCACAGATCCTCATAATGTACACACCGAAACTTGCCTAAATAGCGCAATTGGTTTGTTTGTTTATGTATCCGCTGCTATCAGACGTTCCAGTAAATCATTCTGGCTTTGCATTCATAGGGAGGTGGAGGGTGACAGACTACAGCCTGCAAAGGTAAGAAATCTAATTCATTTATCGCTTCATATTTCTGTCAAATTGCTAATGAGTGCCAACTTCACAACAGCATGAAACATATTTTCAAAGTCATTCCCTTTTGCATATTTTTATCCAGACAATTACGTGTTCTCTGAAACATTCGGCATCAATGTCATCAAGTTCTGCTGTTATTTCTGTTCTGCAGGCTGTTCAGCTCAAAGACATTGGCATGCAAACCCCAACAATATCCCCCAGCGGCCAGTCTGAGGGCAGTGCCAACAGTAGCTGCACCAGCAGCGGTGCCACTGAGCTTCTGTCCAGTCCACCTGATCTAACCATCACAAATGGGTACATGAGGCCTGTTTTTCTGGAGTGTTGCTAGTGTAGTGACACTTTATTATGAAATAACATTACTCTGTATTACTATATTTGCATTTATTCACTTAGCAAACACATTTATCCAATGACAAGTGAGACCAAAGTTGCATAAGTGCTTGTGTTTCCATTACAAGATTTAATTGTATTTTCCTGATTATCCCAAACAGAGTGCACAACTTCACCAATGACCATTTTGATCTCCAACACAATTCCAGCACCCCTACTCAGACAACCACCCTCCCAGCCAGTAACAACAGCTGGGGAGGTAATTGAACTGGCACAAAGCTGTCTCTGTTTGTTTTCTATATTCTGAATGTTGTGGCACTTTCTTTAATACAATGTTAATTTAGCCTTTTCTTCATTTCTTTGTTTTATGGCACATTCTCTACTCAATCGGGTGAGTGTTTTACATATTTTTATGATAAGTTGAATGGCTTTTAAAAGGGAAGTGTGTCATTTTTCGAACTAATGCAAAAACAGGTTCCCCTCCATCTTCCATTTTTTTTAGACAAACAGATAATTCATACTCAAAAACACACCCGTGCTTTTATGAACCAGGGGCCGGATTCACGAAAATCTTTTTAAGAAATAAGAAATTTTGTGAAGTTTCTTGAATCCGGCCCCAGATGATTATTTAGTAAATGAAAAACAACTTGACTAGTGTAGCCCGATTCATGAAGGAATCACTCTTATGAACCAGTTATTTTTAGTAAATCAGAAACATGCAGCACAACCAGTATAGTCTATTTCAGGAAACATTACTCTTATGAACCAGTTATTTTTAATAAATCTAAATTATACAGCACTACTAGTGTAGTCCGATTCATGAACAAATTACTCTTATGAACAAGCTTTTTTTAGTGAATCAAAACTATACAGTGTGACCAGTGTAGTCTGATTCAAACAAATGACTCTTATGAACAGTTATTTTTAGAGAATCAAAAACATACAGCACGACCAGTGTAGTCAGATTCACGAGCAAACAACTCTCATCAACCAGTTATTTTTAGTGAATCAAAACATACAGCATGACCAGTGTAGTCCGATTCAGGAACAAATTACTCTTATAAATCAACTATTTTGAGTGAATCAAAAACATACGGCATGAACAGTGTAGTCCAATTCACAAAAAAATAACTCTTAAGAACCAGTTATTTTTAGCAAATCAAAAACATAGAGCACAATCAGTGTAGTCAGATTCACGAGCAAACAACTCTCATGAACCAGATCTGTTTAGTGAATCAGAAACATACAGCACAACCAGTGTAGTCTGATTCAGGAACAAATTACTCCTATGAACAAGATATTTTTGGTGAACCAGAAAAATACAGCACAACCAGTGTAGTCAGATTCACGAGCAAACAACTCTCATGAACCAATTATTTTGAGTGAATCAAAAACACACAGCATGACCAGTGTAGTCTGATTCACAAATATAACTCTTATGAACCAGTTATTTTTGTTGAATCAAAATTATACAGCACGACCAGTGTAGTTTGATTCAGGAACAAATGACTCTTATGAACAAGCTATTTTAGTACTATTTTAAACAAATGACTTTTATGAAAAGTTATTTTTTAGAGAATCAAAAACATTCAGCACAACCAGTGTAGTCAGATTCACGAGCAAACAACTCTTATGAACCAGTTATTTTTAGTAAATCAAAACATACAGCATGACCAGTGTAGTCTGATTCAGGAACAAATGACTCTTATGAACCAGTTGTAGTTGAAACAGACGAGTTACCAGTTTGATTGTGTCTGAAATACCACCCTGTAGTGCATTAAATCAAATTTAACTTCAATTGAAGCGAGAAATTGATATGCATGCCTTTATGTTTGTCTCTGCATATTGAGCTGGGAATAAAAATAATTGACTTGTTTCCTATTTTTTTGTTTTCCAGATTGGTTTTAAAAAAAGGAGCTCTTTTGAAGCCCAACCTCTCCTCGCAGGTCCAAAGTCAAGGCACACAGCTCTACAATGGAGGAAAATTACTCACTAATGATCTGGACTCCTCCTTGGCCAATCTCATGGGCAGTGAGTCTTTCAGCCGTCTCATTTATTTTGTTTCTATGGCAGTTTAACATAACACTACGGACTGTAATATCTGTAATGTAAATGTATATGTTGCTTTTGTCATAGATCTACATTTTGGAGGACCCCCAGCTAAAAAGTAAGGTTTTTAGCATGTAAAGCTAATGATATTTTAGGTTTATTGACAACATAAACAATCGTCGTTGCTATATGAAGTACAGCTGTAACAGTCTGACGTAGGAATCCTTTCTTTTCAGGCCAGAAATTCATTGGACTCATTTGGAGAAGAAATCGTCTGGAGGTTCCCACTGGCAGTCTAAAGCCATGAATGGCACGGCTCCCTGGAGCCACACACACCTGGCCCCTGCTCCCATACCGATGCCACAGATGGTATGGAAATTGACTTATTGCTCAAGGCATGCTCCTGTTAGGAAATTTCAATCTGCTTCTTCGGTTCGATATGTTTGAATACAATATGTTTGCAAATCAAAATCCGAGCAACTTGGCCTGTGCACTACACAGAACACAAAATAAGTTCTTAGTTTTGTGTGATTGTCAATAATGTCTTTGTCTTTCTCTCTTCTGCATGTTTTTGTAATGATACAGAATGGAATGATTTATACTGGCTATGTAAGTCCTGCTTGTACATAAACATAATTGAATCAGCTAAATTTAAAGAACTATCAAAATAAACCAGTTACAATTATTTCTATACATTTAATTCTTATTTATTCAATATTTGTCTTTCTCAGGCACCAGCTCCGGTTGCATTTCCAATGACAACCCCCCAAGTGCCTGTGTATGGGATGGTAGGCATTTCTTATCATGTCAAATTGATTATTTTGACATCTTAATAATATTTAGGGTTCAATATATATTAACTGTTTTATACACTACTGTTTAGAAGTGTGATGTCACCAGCTGTATATATTTTAATGTTTTATTTAATCGATATATTTGATAATATTTTTAATGCAAGGCTGCATTTATTTGATCAAAAATACAGTAAGAACATTAATATTGTGAAATAGTATAACTATTAACTAAATAAATAATAAATAAATAATAACTGTTTTCTATTTGATTATCTTTTAAAATGCAATTTATTCATGGCATAGCAAAGCTGAATATTCAGCAGCCATTACTCCAGTCTTCAGTGTCACATGATTCCTCAGAAATCATTTTAATAAGCTTATTTGGTGCTCAGGAAACATTTCTTTTAAATATGTGGAAACCATGGTACACTTTTGATTGATGTAATACATCATTAATGAATGTACGTTTTGTTTTATTTAAAATTAAATAAAATTTTTCGTGTCGCCAGCCAATGAACCTTTGTGACTGAACCTGAATCCTTAACTATGGCACGTTCAAGTAATGTTTACTTACTTGAGCTTCCAGAGTTTCCGAGATAAGAGGTGTGTCAGTGAGAAAAACATGTCTGTATTAATGGTAAATGTGTTAAAAATAATTAAATAATTGTTTAATTTAAGGTAAATCTAAGTTGCATGTACAAAATACCATTGTATTGTACAGTAACAATAGAATATATAAAAATTCAATTTAGAGAACCTTTAGCGAACACACCCGATGCACCTTCTTTATTCATCATTTTGTAGATTTTAAATTCTGTTGATTTTACGAAAAGGTACATCATCATCTTGCTCCGACTATAGTTCTGTGAACACACCTGATTCGTAATTAAGTTTTTCCGAATTCCGAACACGTTTTAATATAGATGGATGCACTTTATTTGATGTCTTTTGGACTGTTGAAAAAAACACCCGCCTACTCCCATTCCAACGCTTGGAAGAGCAAGGATAATTTTTTATATAACTCAGACTGGATTTGTCTGAAAGAAAAAAGTCATATACCCCTAGGATGCCTTGAGGGTGAGTAAAACATGGGCTAATTTTCATTTTTGGATGAACTAACCCTTTAAGAACTTCTCAACAGGACTTGAACCCTCAAGTACAACGATCACGCTGAACATTTCATTGCTCTGTAGATTCCTCCTCCTGTGGGCCAGATGGGGTCAATGCCCTTAATGGCTCCCCAGCCTGTGATATATAACCAGCCCATCCTGCGCACCACCAATCCTTTCACCCCAATCCCTGGAGCTCAGGTATAGTCGCTCAAGAGCATCCTTAAGATTATATTGACGGCTGTACTTCAGTACGTACCTGTACTTGTAACCTGTGATTAAACGATTCCTTTTTTCCAGATGCACTTCATGTAGCACTGAGGAGCATGATAAACTGACACATACGCCCGAGGAAAAACATCAACCAATCCAAAACCAAAAATGGCAAGGCAGACATGAGAAACGGTTCAACTGGCTGAGATGTTCTGAAGAACTGAAGATGTTCATGTGGCATTTCCCCCTTTAGCCCGTGTGTTTGTAACATACCCCCTCCATCCAGCGACATAACAGTCCTCTGTCATTTTACATGTTACCTTTAATTTCTAAGTGTCAAAATCTAGTGTTTTTAGGCAGCCCTCTTTGATGATGTCACTGGCTGATGCAAATGGAATGACAGTGTACAGTGAATTGCGGTGGAATGAAAAGTTGTCATGATGTCAAGCCCCTCCCCCATCCCCTCCTGTTTGGAAAAGTGATTGTTGTAATTGTGCACACTTGAATCAATGTTTATAATGTCTAAACCAAGCCACGGTTTTGTATGCACATTGCCTGAATAGTGTTTCGAATCAACCACTGTCAATGTTGATTGTGCCATAGCGGCTGGCATCTCAATTTCTTGAGTCTTGGAGAAATGTGTACAGGACATTTTTCGTACATTTGTCTCGTCCCCAAACATTTTGGATTTCACCTTAAAAGTTCGATTTGTTTCTACATGACTTGTAATGCCTCATTCAGGTATGGTAAGGTATGGCTGTTTGGATTAAAGTAAAATACAGCAGTATGTTTCTGTATGGAAATTATACAATTTATTACATATCTGGTGAAAAGTGCACAGCAGATACCAAGACGCTGAGTACGGCTGTGTCTGAAAGCACCCTCTACACCCTTTTATAGTGCACTATTAAAGGTGACAGCATTTGTAGTGGCAGTAGTGGACATCCCATGATGCCCCTCAATAATGAGTGCACAACCGATGTACACTTATCAGCTAACCGCTAACGAATAGCCCCACAATGTTAACGTAACTCTGAATGTATTCTTGCATCTCAGTTTATGGATCAGTAGATTATAGTAGAGGAGTAATGCAGGGAATAGTAAATGAGAGCACAGAGTGCTGCAGGGATAATGTATTTTTGTAGGCCAAAACCCAGAAACAACTAGCGCATCCGGCTCCATCGTCCCAAAGTGTTTTTTGAATGGGTTTTTGGTTAAAAGCCTGATTAAGACAAGCTCAAGCTTAAATAAAGAGTTGTCGGAAGCTTAATGGTGGTGACGTTTAAGTCATGTGACCATGGTGTAGTAGTTTATAGCCTTTAGCTTTTTACTTCTGGTGATTGTATTTAGGTTTTAAAATTGTACTTATTCATGAAGATTATCCTAATGAAAAAATGTCCAAGATTCATAAACATTTGTTAGTCACAGAGCTTATTTTTTTGTCATAATGCAAAAGCCAATGAAAAAATATTATTGAACCAGAGTGATGCTAACTGCTGGGTTGGCCTATAAAATACATCTTTAGATACAGCCCTACAAACAAAGCACTATTCAGCTTCAGATTAAAACCATCAAAATACACAGGTACTTTTGAATAGCTAACAATCGAGAAACATGCTTTTTGGCTAATTTGCTAATGCTAAACTGTTTGGGGCATCCTGACTGCTTGGCCAACCAAAAGCATTTTTGGTGAAGCTAGTGGAACTCGCCTTGTTCGCAATTACTTAAGACAAAATGACTTTTTCCACTCATTCTTTTTCACACACATATCTACAAAGATCATTAATATTACCTACACTACATTTAAAATGTCATACTTAACTTTGGAGCTTCACTGAACGGCACAAGCTCCACTGGGAAGAAAGTCCTCAACATAGCTAGCAACTGCTTTAGAAAGGTAGGTCATGCTGCCAAAACGGCCACTGGGGGCGCTGTCGTACATCAGCCTGCAGATGCCAGTCACGTGATCTCTCTCAAGGAGACTCTCATCAGCTCCCAGTTCTTTCTGCAGAAACAGAATTTGGTCATTTGTGCCAGTGTTGCCAACTTAGCAATTTTGTTGCTAAATTTAGCAACTTTTCAGACTACCCTAGCAACTTTTTCTTCCAAAAGCACCTAGCAACAAATGTAGCTATTTATTATTTATTTATTTGGCAGCTTTTAGCAACTCTTGATAAGTGACTCAAACGATAAAAAGGCACAATTTACCATTTAAATTACACAAAAAGAGGAAACCAAAGATGCCTAGCAGTTCACACGTTACAGAAATTAAGTTTTCTGCTATTTGCAATTGTTTAATTTAATAGTAATAATAATAATAATTGAATACTGTTATTTTTCATTTATGAGACACTTTGTTAGTAGCTTGTACCTGCGATTGCTGATGAGTTAGTACACTGTAAGGAAAATATGCAGAAAAATGGAAAAGGTGCTAGTAATTTACCAGGACATTATCCGTTATCCGTTGTAACCCGAAAACACAAAATACAATGCGTAATTAAAAATGCAGGTACAAAAACCTATGGAAAAATCAATCCAGAAAATTCCTTCATATTAACACAGTAGATTGTGCATTATTTTTTACTGCTCTTAGAGTGCAGCATACTAACTAACTACTAATAAACTGCTTTAAAGTATAAAACTTACATTGTTTTCGATAATTCAATGGATTTAAAAATAGTTATTTATATTTTACTATTATATTATGCATTTATATTGTTACGAACAAATCTAAATGAACATATATAAAATATATATGTTTTTGCTGAGATTTGACATCATTTTGCATCGTGATTACGTAATGACGTCATCACGCAATGTCATCACAGCATCATTTAGCTACTTTTAGCAACAAATCAACCTTCCTTTAGCAGCTTCCCCTGAAAATTAGTTGGCATCACTGATTGGTGCTACTGACTCCATGACTGCTAGTCAGTTGCACGTGAGAGGAATATTCTTATTCTAGAGATTATTTTATTGGACGAAAATCTATATAGTGCAAGATGAGTAAACAATATTTGATCCATTTTCCATTATTGGAAAGATATAAAAAAAAAAAAGAAGGTGTATAAACCTCCTCAAGAAGCTCACCTGATCATTGTAGAACATGTCACTGGCCATTTGTACAATCCTCTCCACCTGAATGATACCACCCACACTCTGGACATCCACCTCAGCCAACATGGTCAGCACCAGGATGGCCTCCACCAGCAACTGCCGGTATTCAGGCTGAGGAACACGGTTCAGGACTGTTTCCACATGCACGGCAAACTTTATTTCACCTGGAGTCATCTGAAAATGGTGCCATTTTATTATCATTCTGTCAATTTAAAACTGAATGCCACTTAATTTGATCTCTTAAGGTTGTTTACCTCTCTTGTGGTTGAGGATGGAAGCACAAAGCCCTCAATGGATAGCCCGTGACACTAAATGTCAAGAAAGGAAAGCCATTTTGAAGCATAACCTCGACGAATAACCCAGCTTCAGCACTCACTGTCAAGCATCCCACTCACCTTCTGCAGAATCTTCCAGACGTTCTGATAGAAACCAACTGGGACTCTGTTGAGAGCTCCATCGAGACGCCTGCGCCGAAGCCACTGGCCATGTCTGCTGTCACGCATCAAGGTGGCTCCTAATGATCCCTGAAATGACTCAATGGATGGAAGTCTGTATCTCTGGAAAACAATCAGGTTAATTACACCTACAGAGAAAAAGCTCAAGCTTGGAAAAGAAGTTAAGCTTTGTTTGCCTGTGGTCCACTTACCCCGGATTCAATATTTCCAATATCCAGCGAATGAACTGACACAGCCTAAAGGACACAGAAAAAGTGGCTGGTCTTTAACTATTGCCATCATATTGAGACATAACTGTCCTAAACCCAAGCATTCTCTCACCAATTTGATATCACCACCCTGTTTACTTGCAACTTTCACTTCAGTTTTGGTGGAGCTGGATTTGCTCATGTCTTGGATATTGACAGCAGAGCTGACCACATTTCCTGTTGAGCGCACTGGTGCAAAAATACAACTCATAAATATACAAATTCACAGAGTATAATAATGCTGGCAATGTGTGAATATATTTACCGCTTTTTTGAACTCCAAACTCTTTGCCACTGAGAATGTGAACCAGCAGGTTCTTCATCTCAGATGGGCTCATATTCATCAAACTCTCTGTAGCCTCCTCACCTAAAAAAAAAAAGAAAAAAATATATGAACCTCTTGTGCACTTAACCAGAGTACTAAAATAATATTAAAAAATAATTAGATTTTTTTAATTGCTACATTCAGCAAGGATGCATTAAATGAATCAAAAGTGACATTTATAATGTTACAAAAGATTTTTGTTTTCAAATAAATGCTGATAAATGCTGTTCTTTTGAAATTATCACCGTTTTAAGCAGCTCAACTGATTTCAACATTAAAAACAATAAGAAAAAAAAACTGAGCACCAAAACTGCATATTAGAATGATTTCTGTAGGATCGCGTTAAGACAGGAGTAATGCCTGCTGAAAATTCAGCTTTGCCATCACAGGAATAAATGACATTTTAAAAAAGGAACCAGTTCTTTTACATTTTAATAATGTTTCACAACATTATTGTTGAATATGTTTACTGTATTTTTGATCACATAAATACAGCCTTGGTGAGAGGCTTCTATCTAAAACATAAAAAAAAATCTTACCAACCTTTTGAAAGGTAGCATATTTCAATAATTGTTGAGAAATCCCTCAAATGAAGATAATTCAAAGATAATGTTACAGCAGATGAGTGAATAATTTAACAAAGTAGCTTAAGTCAATATGTGACCCTGGACCACAAAACCTTAAGTCTTAAGTCGCTGGGGTATATTTGTAGCAACAGCCAAAAATACATTGTATGGGTCAAAATTATTGATTTTTCTTTTATGCTTTTATAAAGATCATGTTCTATGAAGATATTTTGTAAAATTCCTACTTTAAATATATCAAATCTTCATTTTCGATTGGTAATATGCATTGCTAAGAACTTAAGTTGGACAACTTTAAAGGCGATTTTCCCAATATTGAGATTTTTTGCACCCTCAGATTCCAGATTTTCAAATAGTTGTATCTCGGCCAAATATTATCCTATCCTAACAATAGCATACATCAATGGAAATTTTATTTATTCAGCTTTCAGATGATGTATAAATCTCAATTTCAAAAAATTGACCCTTATGACTGGTTTTGTGGTCCAGGGTCACATATCTTGTTTTATTTCCATATCATTGCACATCGAACCAATCACTGGTTAGTTAATTCTAATAAAGTGCAGTCCTAATAAAACAGAATAAACAAAACAGTTTACTGCATGTTAAAAATGGTTAAATATTTATTAAAGGAGTTTATGAAACAGGAACTGAGATACCTGAACAGTTGAGGGACTGGGCGAGCTCTGTGACCATGACCTGAAGAATGAGGCCAATTCGGAGGCGAAACATTTCACTGAAGATTTTAGGCTGGGCTCGAATACTCATAGCCAGAAACACCATTATCTCCTGCCAGGAGCAAACAAGAGTGTCAGTGGAATTAAAATGTACAAGGTTGAGATGTGGATCTGACCCGCAGCTCTAACCTGAGTGAGAATGGCGATGGTGAGGTTGTTCTCGCTAGCCTCATTGATCAGCCTTGCCAACTTATCTGGGGGCATCGGGCTATATGGAGACAAAGATTGTAGTATGAACAGGTAAACGTGAATGTGAACACGTGTGTGTACTCACGCTGAAATAGTTTTCTCTCTTGGTTCAGGAGGAAGGCCAACTGTTAGATGTTTCTGATGAATTAGTAAATCTGAGCAGGCCTGTTAATGGAAAAATATCTAATAACCACATTCAAAGAAAATGTAGTTTAATTTACATGCAGATACAGGAAAACTGCTACTCACAGCATCCAGCTCTTCTACTTTCTTGCGTAGCATCCCACAGATCATCCGGATGAGACCCCAGTGTTTTAGGTTTCCTGCCTTTTCATACAAATCACTCAATAGTCGTCTTACCGTCCAACCTTTCCCATGAAGCTTGGTGTCCCAATCCATTCCCCTTATAAAATAAATCCCAACATTATTTCATTTCAAAACAATCCTCAACCTCCACAGTCACAGTACAGCTCTTTTCTAGGACACAGATATAACAAAACTCATTAAATGGTTCCAGTGGTACTGACTTGTCTTTGAACAGGATGTAGAGAATATCAGTCTGATCCTGTAAGTTCTGACTTTGTTTCAGCATCTGCACTAAGGCTGGGTAGTCAATCCCACCATTGTTGTCTCTGGGCAGGTTCATGGGTTGAGGGGCCTGTTTCTCAGATGCCTTCGCAGGAGAAAAAGTCATTACAGCTCTTTGTTAAATGTGGACACCTGCAATAAAGCCATTTTAACAGTTCCAGAGAGCAATTTTCCCATTAATTTTCTCCATACAGTGATTCCTCAGAAAATATTAATTTACACATTACAGACAGTGTTTGTTTTAAATTTAAAATTTTAATTTTAATATGTTTTAAAATGTAATTTGTTCCTGTGATGGCAAAACTGAACTTTCAACAGCCATTACAGTCTTCAGTGTCACATGATCCTTCAGAAATCATTCATGCTGATTTGGTGCTCAAAAAACATTTCTTATTATTATCAAGCCTGTTTCCGTCACTGAATAAAAAAAAGAGGTAATTGCGACTTTTTATCTTTAGAAAAAAGTTGACAATTCTGAGATTTAAACTCACAGTTCTGACTTTTCTCAGAATATCGTGATATAAACTTGCAGTTGAAAGTTATAAAGTCAGTATTGTGTGATAAAAAAATTGCAATTGTGAAAAAAATCTGAATTGCGAGAATTAAACTTACAAGTCTGAGAAAGAATTGCGAGATATAAACAATTCTGAGAAAAAAAGTTGACTTTTTTCTCAGAATTGCGAGGTTATATCTCGCAGTTCTGACTTCACAACAGGCAATTGCAAGTTATTAAATCAGAATTGTGAGATATAAACTCATAATTTCTGAGAACATCAGTTTTTTCCCCCTCAGAACTGGACTTTACAGTATATCTTGCAATTCAGCTTTTTTTCTCAAAAAAGCGAGATGTAAACTCCCAATTGTGAGAAAAAAAAGTCTGAATTCTGAGATAAAAACTCGCAATTACCTTTTTTATTTTTTATTTAGTGGTGGAAAGGGGCTTCAATAGAAAACAGTTGTGCTGCTTATGTGATACTTTTTTCAAGGATTCTTTGATAAACATAAGTTCAAAAGAACAATTTATTTGAAATAGTTATCTTCTGTAACATTAAAGTCTTTACTGTCACTTTTGATCAATTCTCTGCGTACTTGCTTCAATAAAAGGTAAGAAAAATTATTTCTGATTTGCTGCTAATTTGTTAGGAAGAAAAATACATTATATACAGGTGTAAACCGTTGGGTTACTTGCGTAACCCATGTTCTCTGAGTAGGGAACGAGACGCTGCATAGCTATGATGCAATAGGAACGCCCTCTGGGTGTGCCGATTGTCTGAAGCCCGTATAGAATCACGCCAATTCATTGGCTGATAGCGCGGGCGCCGCCTCGACGCTCTTATATCGCCATCTGCTCCTCAGATTTCTCTGCCGAAAAAGGCCTCTTGTCGGCAGTGCGAGAAGCTTGGCAGCAGACGCAGCGTCTCATTCCCTACTCAGAAAACATGGGTTATGCAAGTAACCCAAGACATTCTCTTTCATAGGTTCACTCAATGCTGCGTGGCTATGATGCAATGGGACCGATATACCAAACACGCCAAGGTAAGAGCTGCCGTATCTGGCCCGATGATGAACCAGATAGAATCCACAGCTGATTCAAGCGGATAAGACCCGGGAACCAGGAGCCATGTCAAGATCTAAATGATAAAAAATAGCTTCCCTAACCCAATGAGAAATTCTGTGCTTCGATGAGGCAAGCCAATGGCGGCCAGCATCAAAGCATAATAACAGCTGGGGAGATTTTCTCCAATGGCTAGGGTGGTCCACATAGAGCTTCAAAGCTCGGACAGGGCAGAGCATGTGAAGTCTCTCATCCTCGCCTGAAGCAAAAGGAGGAGGATGGAAAGAGTGAAGGGTGACCACCTGAGAGTGAAATGATGTGGACAAAACCTTGGGAACATAGCCTGGCCTGGATCGTAAGGTTACTTTGACCAGACCCGTGGCAAAGTCCATACACATCTCACTGACAGAGAGAGCTTGCAAATTCCTGACTCACTTCAAAGAAGTTAGTGCCAACAAAAGAGTTGTAGATGCCGAACTCCACGCATAAACGCGGAGACCAACTGATGTCTCTCCAGAGGGACTTCATCCAACTCTCTCTGAGCGGCGATGACTGCAATATAAACTCTCTGGGTAGTAACAGCCACTCTAGCCGCAAGTTTTTCAGACCTAGCGATCTGCCAGGACCTTGCTCGCTAATCTAAGCGCTCCAAAGTTTGCTACATTTGCGATCAGAAGCCAAAAAAGCTAAGTATAATATCTGTGATAGCTAAACATGTTGCAAGAGAGGCGTCACCACCAACATGACAAAGCACTTTAATTTAATAGATCGTTAAAGATCGCGAAAACGATTCAGTCACCAACGTGATTCTATTCCTAAATCACAATGATTCGTCTGTTTCATTCCTCAACCTTTGAGTGTGCGATCAATGTTGTGATAACTTGGTTCATCCGTGCAGCGTACAATCACACCAGTGTGATTTGAACATTTAAATCTGCGTTCGCGCTGCCATTGACCTAAAGAGAGCAGCTGTCTGTCATGAATGAAACAGCCTCACAGTCTTTTCAGCCACACAGTATCATTATTTCTGTTACAAACATTCAAATCACAGAAGTACTGGGATAAAAGTTTATAGTTCAGATATAAACTGTGTGTACAATATGTATGGTAGCGATTCAAATAGAGTAAATCACCTTTTGAAAGTAATTTGACACTTCAAATGAAGATTTATCGAATACATTGTTACGTCAGTAGGTGGCGAAAAGGGGCTGTTAAAATGTATTTATCTTTGAATCATACAAGAGATTCGTTCAAGAACACTGATTCATCCAGTAATGAAACAAGTACATCTTGAGTGAGTCATTTAATCATTAATTCATAAATTACATGTGATTTTGTTTAGTTGTCTAATGTTTTTTCTTCAGAATCATGAGAGAACCACAACTTCCATTGGGGGGAAAAAAGATTTAGCTATTTTGCATACAAACAGCTCTTAAAGAGTACATTTTCAATTCATTGTATTCAGATTTTTGTTCATGGTATTCAGCTCCAATAAATGGTTTGCAAAAAAAGAAACACAGGATAAATGTTTGATATCATTATTTAATCACATTGGAATCGAAACTGGGAATCGAAAAGAATCGGAATCGATAAGCAGAATTGGAATCGGAATTGATAAAATTCAAACAATACCCAACCCTAGTCAAAGCTTGTGACATATAAACGCGCACATCAAATCGATCACTTTATTTAGTGTTCATGTAAACAATACATTCAGATTCATCAATCGGAATGAATTCAGTCCGATTTAAACAAAAGTTGTGCATGTAAATATAGCCAGAGAGCCATTGTAACCATTTGGTGATGGTGAACAGCGTCCACACTGACCCCTCTCCGAAGAAAGAGGGGGTCCCGCCATTTTCAGAAGGCGCGAAAGCAACTGTGCGACACCTTTAATAGACGAGAGGCTGGTCCTGTCAAGCAGATCCCTAAGAGTTTCATCCACCAAAGGAACTGCCTCATATGAAGCAGCCCAGGGGCAGCACAGGGGAGGCTGCAGCCATGAGGCCCAAGAGCCTGCAACAAGTGCTCACAGAAACATGATGGCCTAGCTTGAACCGTGCCAAGCATGCGTTGGCTGGAATTCCAGGCAGGAGCCAAACAGGCCAGCATCTGAATGGAATCCAAGTGAACCCCCAAGAAAACAGCCTGTTGAGAGGGGATTAGAACACTCTTCTTGGCGTTCATTCCGAGGCCAAGAGACAGAATGTGGCAAAGGAGGACATCCCTGTGGTGACACACTAATTCCCTGGAGTGGGCCAAAATGAGCCAATCGTTCAGGTAATTGAGTATATGGATGCCCTGGAGCTTCAATAGGGCCAGAGCAGCATCCATGCACTTTGTGAATGTCCTTGGTGCCAAGGCTAGGCCAAAGGGAAGAACCTTGTACTGGTAAACCTTTCCCCCAAAGGTGAACCTGAGGAACTTCCTGTGATGCCGAACGACCTGAATATGAAAATAGGCATCCTTCAGGTTGACAGTGACAAACCAGTCTCCCGCTCGAATCTGTGACATAACTGTCTTGCGTGTCAACATCTTGAACTTCCCTTTGTAAAGGGAGAAGTTCAGTTTGCGAAGGTCTAGAATAGGGCATAGGCTGCCGTCAGTCTTCGGAACTAGAAAATAGCGACTGAAAAAGCCCCGTTCTACTTCCGCTGGAGGAACCTCCTCTATCGCCCCCTTGAGGAGAAGTGAAGATAGTTCCTGCTGTAGAATAGAAGCCTCTGAGGCGCTGCTCACTACAGTCAGGTGAACCCCGTCGAAATTGGGGTTGCAACCGAATTGAAGTGTGTAACCAAACTGAACTGTGCGGAGAACCCAAGGCGATATCCCTGGTAGATACTTCTATTCGTGAAAGAATTGTGATAGAGGAAGCAGAGTGTTGCAGTCTACAGGACATACCTGTGTTGGAGTGCCGCGATGTAGAGCCCTGCACGGGCCTCAAATATACAGTGCTGTGAAAAGACTTTTGCCTCCTTCCTTCCTGTTTTTTTTTTTTTTGCATATTTGTCACAATTGAATGATTCAGATCATCAAACTAATTTTAATATTACACAAAGATAACCAGAGTAAATACAAAATGCAATTTTGAAATAATGATTTCATATTAAGAGAAAAAAGCTGTCCAAACCTGCCTGGCACTACATGAAAAAGTAATTGTCCCCTAAATCTAATAACTGGTTGTGTCATCCTTTGCAGCAACAACTGCAATCAAGCGTTTGCGATAACTGGCAATGAGTCTTTCACATTGCTGTGGAGGAATTTTGGCCCACTCTTCTTTGCAGAATTGTTTTAATTCAGCCACATTGGAGGGTTTTCGAGCATGAATGGACTGTTTAAGGTCATGCCACAGCATCTCAATCGAATTTATGTCCGGACTTTGACTTGGCCACTCCAAAACCTTAATATTGTTTTTCTTGAGCCATTCAGAGGTGGACTTGTCTTTTTATGAAATGCTGTGTTGGTTTTACGCCAGATGTAACGGGACACACACCTTCCGAAAAGTTCAACTTTTGTCGCATCAGTCCACAGAATATATACCCAAAAGTCTTGGAGATAATCAAGATATTTTTGGCAAATGTGAGCCTTTGTGTTCTTTTTGGTCAGCAGTGGCTTTTGCCTTGGAACTCTCCCATGGATGTCGTTTTTGCCCAATCTCTTTCTTATTGTTGAATCATGAACAACGACCTTAATTGAGACAAGTGAGGCCTGCAGTTCTTTAGATGTTGTTCTGGGTTCTTTTATGACCTCCTGGATGAGTCGTCGTTGCGCTCTTGGAGTAATTTTGGTAGGCCCGCCACTCCTGGGAAGGTTCACCACTGTTCCATGTTTTCTCCATTTGTGGATAATGGCTCTGACCGTGGTTCGCTGGAGTCCCAAAGTCTTAGAAATGGCTTTATAACCCTTTCCAGACTGATACATGTCAACTATTTTGTTTCTCATCTGTTCTTGAATTTCTTAAGATCACGGCATGATGTGTTGCTCTCTAAGTATGCTTCACTTTGTCAGACAGGTTCTATTTAAGTGATTTCGTGATTCAACAGGTCTGGAAGTAATCAGACCTTGGTGTGGCTAGTGAAATTTAACTAAGCTTTCTAAAATAATGTGGTTAATCACAGTTCTTTCATGATTTAACAGATTTTTCACATAGGGCCAGGTAGGTTTGGACAGCTTTTTTCCCTTAATAAATGAAATCATCATTTAAAAACTGCATTTTGTATTTACTTGCATTATCTTTGTGTAATATTAAAATGTGTTTGATGATCTGAATCTTTTAAGTGTGACAAATATGCAAAAAAATAAGAAAAACAGGAAGGGGGCAAAAACCTTTTCACGGCACTGTAGGTCCTAGCCCGGCCCTGGCCCGAGATGCCCAGGCCCTGGCCCGGCCCTTGTCCGAAAACTTATCAGAATTCTTGGCCCTAGTCTGACCCGACCCCATCTTTTTTCCCCTTCTCCCAAAACAGCTTATACTACTGTTTCAGCAATTAAAATAGTTCAGTTTTGTATGTAATGGGAAAATTATTATATTTCATTTCATTTTTTAAGTTAATTTAGAAAAATGTTTGGAGCATTTTAATGTGTGTTAAATGTAAGTTTTAGTTTTTTTAAATTACGACCAGGCGGCCAGCAGCAGACAGTGAGTTGATCATATGTTTGATCAATTTAGCCTTCTCAAATCATCACGACTTGCCTAAAATAAAATCTATAGATATAAAACCATTTAAGCATATCACAATGTTAGTTTAAACGTTTAACCTAGATAAATACATGCTGTTAGACTCATATCCAATCGTTTGTGCGGAGAGGAGCTAAAGTGTGCTTTACAGGACATGGAGGCGCCAGCACGATCACTTGCACTGGAAATAACTTAAAATACGCTGTCATTTTTTGCTCATAAAGGTAAGAGTAATACATCATTCGAAACTGTAAACTTTTATTTGTGTGCATTCACAATATCAACAAAATGTTGTGCTTTTATATAAAAAAAGAAAACAAATAGGATGTGATGCCATCTCGGTCTTGAATAGGAACACTTCACAAAAATGAACTGAAACTCAGCGAATGCTTGCCTCACAGACTTGATAAATATATATAGAAAGCTTTAAATTACTACTTTAAAATGAAATAATTAAAATCTAAGACTTTCATTATAAAATCCGTAAAGATGCCTTTTTCTCTAAAGGTGCTTCCAATGAGGAGATGGCGAGTCAGAATCAACTTAATCTTTGCGACACGGACTCAGAAAACACTCATTTAGTAATAAATAATTTTAATACATTAAAAAATAAATAAAAAAAATTCAGCACCATAATTGATGGGTCTAAAAAAATAGAGGAGAAGCCTAAAACAGGCCCGATGCCCGGCCCGCGTCTGAGCTATGACATGAAAATTGATCCAAAGCCCAGCCCTAGGGGTGTAAATAAGTCGGGGCCTGTCGGGCCCAGGCTGAAATGCAGGGCTCTACCGAGACGGTCCGGTGGGGGTAACATCGTCCACCATGCAGGAGAGCCCCTGGCGTCCTGATGCAGGTTGTGGAAGCCCACAGGGACCGATGTGAGGGCCTGGTCTGTGACTGGTACAGGGTCTGCTGGCTCTGGGAGAGAACCGCTTGTGTCTCCTATCATATGAGCAGCAGGTGACAAAGGAACAGGAGGTAAGGCGAGAAAGCCTGGTTCATCTCCCATCCCCCACGCTGAAAGAGAGTGAGGCTGAGTGATTGCTGCACACCAAAACGCACTGGGTGGCGGACGTGACAGAACTGCATGAGGAGAGCGTGTTAGAGGCGGGCAGACACGTTTGAACGGTCTGGCCCAGCCTCGTAAGACGAGAGAATCTCTCCTCCTCCTGACATGCGAGTCAGGAGCGACTCGATGGAGCTGAAGCAATGGGTCTGTCAGACCGCTTCAGCTCAAGCCGCTTGCGGGGTCGCCAGGGAGGAAATGGGTGGCTGCGGGCTCCCCAGGCCGTGGGGGATGAACCGGGTCGCTGCTCCTACTGGCGGTCTCTTTCCTGGGCAAGGATGTGAAGGGGTTAGAGGCCTCCCGCACTCTCCTGGGCATAAACTGCCTGAGGGCAGCTCAAAATTTTTCAACCACAGAGTTGACTGCCTTCCCAAACAGCCCAGACTGAGAGATGGGGCGTCAAGGAGAAAAACGTTCTCCTCCTCACGAATCTCTGTGAGATTAAGCCACAGGTGGTGCTCAGTAGCCACCGAGCCTGCCACAGAACACCCCATAGCACGTCTGGTGTGATTGGTGGCTCTCAGGGCCAAGTTTGTGTCTCTGCAGAGCTCCTTGCCTCTGGAGTCAGATCGCCACCCTCGTCCATCTCCTTAAGGACATCCGCCTGGTAGGCTTGGAGAGGCCATAGTATGAAGGGCCATGCCTGCCTGACCAGCTGCCATGTAGGACTTTCCGATAAGGGTGGAAGTGGTCCTACATGGTTTAGTAGGAAGGAGGGAACGGGACTTCCAGGAATGAGCCGAGGATGGCAAGAGGTGCAAGGCCAGCATATCCTCGATAGCCAGAATGCCCCACAGAACCCACTAGGTTGGTGAAGTCAGCGGCTTCCACGTTAGTAAGGCAGGCAGAGAATGGCTTCTTCCATTATCTGGAGATCTCATGATGCAGATCACTGAAAATAAGGGCAACTTTCTCCAAGCGGGCCCTTGAATTTGGGCAGCTTAAAAACCACTCGTCGAGTTTAGACGACTGGGATTCGGACGCAGTGGTGTACAAAACAAAACCCGAAGGAAATCGCATTGCGCACCTCCGTGCTAGGGCATAAATAATAATGTGTGAATTCAACTGGCGAATCCGCGTGCTCGGGCGAGAGAGGGAGAGAAAGGGCGAGGCCCGTCTGCTCACTCTACATCGCCTCAAGCTCCACATCCGAACCCCAGGTCACGGATTCACGGAGAGCCTCTGCGGCCTCTGGAGCGCAACAGAGAAAAGCGAATGACTCCTTTTCAAAAATCACGAGCCTAGTATGGAGGGTTTTGAGATGGAGGTTTTCACAATATTTGCATTTAGAAACGCCATAAACCGCCTTGCGTGCATGTGAAATACCCATACACTTAACACACTTACTGTGTGGGTTGTTACTTGCAATGAAGCGAGAACACGGCGACTGGCAGCAACGATAATCCATGGCACTTCACCGCAAGGAGAACCCATGGCACTTCACCGCAAGGAGAGTTCCACTATAGCATTCACTGAAGTGCAAAGAAGAAATCTCAACAAATACGATCCGAAATCGGGCCAGAAAAACCGCAACAGAAGGGCTAAATGGCTGCATTGTGAAGGCAGAGAAATCTGAGGAGTAGATGGCACATTCGCCAGTTTAAGGATGGCAACATAAGAGCATCGAGGCGGCGCCCGAGCCATCAGCCAATGAATTGGCGTGATTCTATAGGGGCTTCAGACAATCGGCACACCCAGAGGGCATTCCCATTGTGTCATAGCTGCGCAGCGTCGAGTGAACCTATGAAAGAGAACTTCAATATACAATATTCAACCTTCAATATATAATATGCAATCACCTAACATCCTTTAAGTTCACTATAGGTCTATCTTGGAAGGTTTACACCTTATTATCAGTTAAAACTGTTTCTGTGTAGGAGTGAGTGGGATTTTTACTTCTGGAACCTGATAAAAAAATCAAGCATACAATTTGGAGAGCAGAGACAGCCAGATGATTCTTCTAATTATTGCTTAAATGTTCACAGTGAAAGCCTGTAATTTTGTGTTATCTACCTTTTCTTTGTTATCCAGCAAATTAAGGTTTGGTGCAGGAGAACGGAAAAGTTTAGTTGGAAGGTACATGTGAACATCTGCGGAGAGGTTTAAATAAAATCATGAATTATTTTTGAGCATTTGCAAAGGCAACTGTTCTCTGAACAGCGTCAAAATGACTGTCTAAAAACTCACTGTGTATATTAAGCTCTCTGGCTTTGTGCACCAAAGACACCATCTCCCGAGTCTTTTTGGCTGCTGCCCTGAAGCGGCTGAGGCCTCCTTTAGTGGCACTAATGAGACTCTGCTGAGGAACTGCCAGCAGCTGGTCCAGATACACAGCCAGGTCATCCACTTCTACACACACACACACACAATTAAATAAAAACCTCAGAGGATTGAGCACGTTTTCTGTCACTTTTGAGAAGCAATTGAGTATTTCACCACGTGTCAATATATAAAACTGTCACAGCAGTTACTGCTCCATCACAAAATTACCTCTCAAGCCTCCATCCGCCCATGCAGCTACGCAAACTGTCTGACAGAGTGACTGTCAACTGCAGGCCACACATTTCAACAAAAAATGTCATGCAGAAAAGGGAAAAACTGCAAGTTAACAGCCAACAAACCCCTGGCAACTGACTTAACCATCCAAACAAAAATGTTTGTTGGTAACTTTCCAATAAAATAAGAAGAAAATGATTAAATCTTTCAAATGGAAGTCATGCTGTTCTGAATCTTTATTACATTCTTGTGTTTAACACAAAATAAGATATTTTTTTTATATTTTGAAAGTCAGCAGCAACAATGGACCCAATTGACTTTCAGTGAATTTTTTCAAAACATCTCCTTTTGTGTTCCACAGAAGAAAGTAATTTTTCTCATTTTTGGATGAACTATCCCTTTATGCTTTTAGACTTTTCAAGAGAAAAGCTCATTATTCATGCTGCTAGCTGGTGGCTCACTCACCACAGTCCATAAATGTAAGATGGGCACAACAGGAGGTGTCAAGAAAAGCAGAAAGTTTCCCAGTCTTAACCCTTGAAATGTAAAACTGATTTGATTTTGGGCTGCTTTAAGTATGTAACAAATATTGAATGTGTTGACCGCTTTAAATATGTTACCTTGCTCCTCCAAAGTAACCGTCCTGTAGTTTTTTCAAGGTTGCCAAAACAGCAGGATCAATTTGCTTGTGATCATCAGCTACAAAGGACAAAAACAAAATGAGTCTTTCAGAATGAGAAAGCTGCAGTCTGCATATTGTATGTTGACGTTGTGTGTTGAGGACACTCACTGAGCATGCTGTGTGAAATTGGGAAAGTAATTGTGGGTCGGCCTGTAATCCTCCAGCGAGAGCAGAGGTAGGAGAGGTCGATACGGAGCATTTCCACAATCATGTGATTGTCCAGGGCCATATAGAACTCATGATGGTCAACAAACTGGACATTTGATCAGAAGCAAAACCAGAAACTGAGTACATATTCAAATAGATACCAACAGCAAATTAGAATTCACACATTGACATACTTGAGGTGTGAAAGTAAAGATTGTGTTACGAATAATGTAGAATTTGGAAGTTCCCAGCACACCAATTCGCCGGTATGGCCGTCCAGTCAGTCCCAGCCTTTGGTTGCGCCCTGAAAAAGGCAAAAACATAGTAAAATCCATCAGTCGCTCTGTGTATTTTGTTTCTCTCTCTCTCTTAAAAGGTGAATTCCTTCGAAAATTCTGTTCATCATGACACTGTATCCCTTCAAGATAATGAACGTGGATGGGAACCGGCTATAAATCTCCAAAAAGGCATCATAAAAGCATCAAACAAGTAGTTCATAATATTTGTGCAGTATAATGCAAGTATTTAATAGCTTTTGCTAGAGGAACAGGTTGAAATTGTTTTTCATTGTTTGCTGAAAATCTTTCTGTGGTCGCCATTCACTTACTTTGTATGCAAATGAGGTCCTTTTTCTTCCGCAGAAGTTTAAAAACTAAATTGAATCAACCTTGAACTGACTTGAACTATATAATGCCACTGTTTTCTTCTGTATAGTTGCTCATACCTGAATAGGGGTGGGCGATATGACCAAAATCTTATATCACAATATGAGTCATTTTATTTCACGATAATGATATATATCATAATATAGTTATTTTTGCTTTAAATAAGGTCTTTATGATATCAACATTTTTGATACCATAGAAATTTCATAATTCTTGTCACCAGTGTCAATATCATTAAAAAAAACTAATACTAGCCTAAAAAAACCCTCAAGCTCACTTAAGACAAGTAAACAATAAATAAGTGTAAAGTAATCAAATTAATAAAAACACTGCATATTCTTCACAGTGTAATTTAAATATATTTCCTCTAATTAAAGTTACAAAAGTGATTTAGTCAAGAGCAGAGAGATTTTCTCTCTTTTGTTGTTTGATTAAAATGAAAGACAGATAGCAGGAATATTAGACTGCTGTTACTTTAAGAGCTGCCCAGATCCAATATACTGTAACAATATAATGTTTTCTTTTTTAGCTGTGACCATGTAGCACAGCAACGTCACGTGAGTGTGTCTACCAGTATCACCCGCCCCAATCCCTGAATTGAACTCTTTTCCAGTTATTGAACTCTTTTACAGTTATTGAACTGAACTGATATTGAAGTGTTTTCAATCAATATTGAACTGACAAATGACACTATCCCTTTTTTTAGAAATGTTTTACAGCAGAATTTGTCTCATATTTGAAGAATTTCACATCATTGATTTTTTATTTCTGTTTATAAGTTGCTTTGAAACTATTTGCTATGTATGAAGTTCTATATAAATTAAGGTGACCTGAGTTCTTCCCTTGATTTCTACCCTGAGCTCACCTAGTCTGGCATAGATGTGACTGAGGACTCTGGAGGGCTGAACTCGGATTGGGTGAACGTCCTCCAGGGTTTCAGCGTCAATGCCATGGCTCTGCAGGAGCTGTTTAATCTCATCGTTTTCTGCCAGGAGAGACACTGAAAACACAAGAATGGAAAACGGCCAGTGTAAATATGGTGAGATGGAATACTTATGTAATATGCAACATCAAACAGGTTTCTAAATTGATTAACCCAGATTAAGCTACTGTCAAACATAGGTCTTACCTTGAACCACAACATCAGGCTTGGGAACAGTGGAGAGGCGTCTATTGAGAGGATCGATTTCTCCAGCAGCTAAAAACCCCTATAAATTCAAAAACAATCATGATTTCACATTTACAGATACATACAGATCATTATATGTTTTCTCAGCTTCACAGCCACAAGGTAATTGATGCATATGTCAGTCTCAACATTCATGTGCAACTGTAGTTATTTATTTAGCAAACATGTTTATTTAAAGCAACCTACAAAATAAAATTCACAAACAATGCCACAATAAACAATATCTTCAAAAATCACGCTCCTTCCCCAAACCAATAATTTATCATTAAACAAATAGGTTTTGAGTATGATGAATTGTAAATATATACAAATGTATATGATCCATCTATGGAACTTAACATATTATTTAAATAAATATATTGTATTGTATTAAATATGTGCTATTTTTCAAAAGTCTGGGGTTGGTAATATTTATAAGGTGTTTGAATAAAGACTTTTATGCTCACCAAGGCTGCATTTGATCAGTAAAAAACAACAATATTGTGAAATATTATTACAAATTAAAAAAACTGTTTTCCATTTTATTATATTTTAAATATATTTGTCAATGGCATTGTCATTACTCCAGTCTTCAGTGTTACATCCTCACAAATCATTATTTTATGATGATTTGACGCTCAAGAAACATTTCTTATTATTATCAATGTTGAAAACAGTTGTGCTGCTTAATATTTTTGGAGAAAACCTGATTTTTCAGGATTCTTTGATAACTATAAAGAACATTATTTATTTGAAATATTTGTAACATTATAAATGTATTTACTGCCACTCTTGATCAATTTAATGCATCTTAACTGAATAAAAGTTTTATTATATATTACGTATAGTATTATATATAGTATTATAAAATTAGAAGTATTTCTTTAAAAATACCGTATCGACCCTACTTGGATGGTAGTGTATATATAAATAAGCATACATATACAGTGGGGGGAAAAAGTATTTAGTCAGCCACCAATTGTGCAAGTTCTCCCACTTAAAAAGATGAGAGAGGCCTGTAATTTTCATCATAGGTATACCTCAACTATGAGAGACAAAATGAGAAAAAAAAAATCCAGAAAATCACATTGTAGGATTTTTAAAGAATTTATTTGCAAATTATGGTGGAAAATAAGTATTTGGTCAATAACAAAATTTCATCTCAATACTTTGTTATATACACTTTGTTGGCAATGACAGAGGTCAAACGTCTTCTGTAAGTCTTCACAAGGTTTTCACACACAGTTTGAAATGTTGTTGCATGGCACTCCCTGATTTAAATAATTCCATTGAACTGTACTGAAGAGATGAGCAGGATGAATGAGTGGAAACAGGTGTATTTCATAAGAGAGACATAATGTCACGGCCTCCAGAAACAGACTGAGAAACACGGCAGTGCAGCATTACCATATAGAGCGATCTTTGTGGAATTTACTGTACCTCTGCCAGCAGGTTACCCAATATGTACAGAGACTGGCCCCATTTCAGTGGACACTTGCCTACTGGCACTCTCTCCACGGTGTGAGGATTAACATACTCTTCATCAACCTAGATGAAATGACACACACACGGTGAAAGTCCATTTTTCCTTTGGAATAACCCACAAAGAAGCACTCAACCAGGAAGCTGGTTTTATCATAACAGTACAAAATCCAGTGCTTTAGTGTCAAGAGCAAAATAACTAAGTGTGTCCATACTGTACCTTATCTGGAGGAACACTATAAAGCTCAGGGACCAATCGCAATCCATTCTTCCCTCTGATGAGAATGCTGTCTAAAGCCTCTCTGTACTCCTGGACCTAAATAAGAGAGGAACAAGCAAAGCATTGTTTTCTAAATAGAATACTTGGTTATTTATTGAATGTCTGTAGTGAATTGTCTCTACCTGTTCTGGACTGTTGATAAAAACACCATCCAGGATGAGGTATGTCCAGAACAGTGGCCATTCACACTCTATGTTCTCGAAGAGCTTCAGCTCTGATGACTCGTAGTACAATCGATTGGGGTCCTTAGAAAAGAATGATTGTGTGGGAATAAGCTCCATACAAAAGACAACCACACACATAGACGTGACATATTTTGTCTGACAAATTGTTCAAGCTTGGTTTTACCTCTCGGGGAGTTTTATGTCCATCTCTAAGAAAGCGACAGCATCCATATCTGCCCTATGAGACAGTACAGGGGTAAATAAACACTAAATAACTAAGGTGTTTGTCAGAAAAAATAAATAATAATTTCTATAATTAATTAAAACTAATGATAAATTGTACTTTAAACGTACATAAATTATATATAATATAATTTTTATTTCATGCAAAGTATTTAATTTTTTATGTAAATGTCTTGAACTTTAAATGTCAAGTTTTCTTAAAAATGTGTAATCATTATACCTGTTTAGTTGAACAAATTAATTGTTTCAACAGTTCAATGGCACATTTTTCATTTTGTTTGCATAGTTTGAATGCAGTATTGTGTGCTTCATTTCATGTTTTCTATGAAAAATGTACGTCAGGCAGACATTTATGAAACAGAAAATATGACACGTGTAAAAATCTGATCACTGATCGCAAGAGATTTACTGATACCCAAATCTGAAGACAATGGTATTCACCTGAAGTTTTGAAATTATTTCTTCTTTGGTGATATTAACAATGTTAATGTCCTCGACTGCAAATGCAGGATAAGAGATGATGGACAGAACCCCAGCATCTACTTCTTTGGATGTCGATGCCCTTGGCAGCATGGAGCTGAGAATAGACTATTGTAAAGGTTTCAAAAAGAAAAAAAAACATTATGTTACTTTTGGGAGGCATGAAGGACGCTGTCATCCTATGTGTAACATCATAAATGAGTTTCTTACTTGGCAGTGCTGAATGTCATCGGCTAAAGAGTGTACAACGGACTCTGGGCCGCCCTTGGCACCGAAAAGGTTCAGTCCATCCAAGGCCTCCAGAGCTGCCTGAATAAACATGCAGCAAGAGGTCATGTTATTTTATCACATGGAGATCATTATTTGACACTTGCTTGACATGTGAAACCAATTCTTAACTGACTATGCAATTTATCACTAAAAATTTAAATATTTTACCTTTGCCATTCCAATAGAGCTGGCATTTATCTCAGGGATCCCTGTATTCGTCTTGTCTCCTCGTTCCCACATTCCAAAATCCTGAGAATCATTTACACTCTTAATATTCATGGAAAACATGTAAAATCTTTCTGTATCAGAACAGCATAATGGTGCTTACCGCCACTTTGTACGCAGATTCAATGTAAAAGATCAGATTCTGGACAACATCGACCTCATCACGGGTATAAACAATTTTAAGCCCTGTTCCACACAAGACAATGTTCAGGCAATTAATTAAAAATGCACTCTGATTCCATAACACAAGGCATTATGCTGCATGTCAGAAACTTTACTTTAAAAGTGAAAAGTTAAAGTCAACCTGATGCTGTCATTTGGGCCAGAAAGAGCAGGAAGATGGAGGTGGCGTCCACCTGTAGATGACCCCATTCCTGATCACCAACAACAGTGGCACAAGTTCCTGTATGGTATTTAGCATGAAGGCAATCTTTGGTGCTTTTGCTGTACTTGAACTTCTCCACCTTATCCAGCTGAAAATTAAACAGGCTCAGAGTTACTGGACAAAAAGTCTTTGTTTCTATGACAAGGCTGGTTCACGTGCAGCATCATCCTTGAACAGAACTGTAAACCAGGCAAAATGTGTAATTCTTGCTTTTTATAATGACAGCAAATAGGATAAATATATTTCTGTCATGACAACTCTCAGAGGGATTGGCATGGTAATGTACATGTCAATGTTAATGTATTTGGTCTTGGCGGAATAGATCTGCTACACTGCTGCTGCTGCGTTAGAGCAAGTACAGAGACTTGTTACTGCCAATACATCCACAACATGCTGCTGTGAGCATATAAGAAATATTGCTGCTGCAAATATGACATACATGAAATAACCCCCATATAGCATACATGAATCACCTCGTAGCAGATCTATACAGGTGGAGCTGGGGAAGGTGGAGGGTTTCTGAAGCAAGCTGCAACTGCTACAGCAAGCACTAGTCATATATTTGAATGTTGAGCAGTGAGCTCATTGGCTACCGATACAGAAGAGAACCAGTCAGCTGTGCCATGAGATAATGATGTCATTAGGTCAGATTGAGTTAGATCTATCGAATTGCATCATCTAGAGTTTCATGCCAGAACTCTGTATATACTGTATATATATTTGTTGTATATATATATATATATATATATATATATATATATATATATATATATATATATATATATATATATATAGGGACATGAGTGGCATTTTCTATTTGTTCCATGCTTCACAATGCACTAATTAACATTTCTGTCACATTTCTGCAACATGGAGCCCACATAACATCATTCATCAATAGTGTGTATGTTTTCATTAATCTGTTTCCTAGGTTTATGTTTAAATTTTAAATTTAAATTAAATTTTATATAGCTTACTTATATTTTTTGTTTATGAAGAAACACACACACACAAATAACTATAAACAAGCTATCACAAGATTTTGAAACAGTCTTCTGTACAACAGCTAACCACCATAATGCACTCTAAAACTTAATAAGCTATTACACTCTGAGAGAAAATGAATTGCCACAAAGTAATTAAGTAATGTCTCACAACTATAATGGGTTGCCATTTGATAATGAGTGCAGACTGTCATTCAGATCAAAAACAAATTATATTTAAAAACTGTTTAGAGAAAATTCTGACTGTATTCATAATGGTATTGTATTATTATATAATATGACCTGATTTTATCTAAAAAAAAAAAACTAAAAAAAACAAGCACACTAACACTATCATTCAGTTGTTTGGGATCACTAGTTTTTAATAGAAAGGAAGAAATGTATACGTTTATTCAGCAAACACACATTAAATTAATCATAATGACATTTATAGTGTTACAAAACATTATATTTCAAATAAATGCTGTTCTTGCTAACTTTGTTGATCAAATAATCCAGAAAAACTGGAGCAATGGCTGCTGACATTTTTTTGCGAAAATAATGTGAAATATGTAAAATAATGTGAAATAAAAAGTTGTTTTTATTTCACATTATCACTATTTTACTGTATTAAAAAAAAAAAGAAGATCATAAGAGCACAATGGACTTTTTTTGAAAACATGAAAAAATCTTACTGACCCCAAAATTTTGATCATTAGTGTATGTTCTTCTTAAAAAGCAAATTCATTTGAAACGATCACCATAATGATGACTCATTATTTACAGCAAAACATTATCTATTCTACACTGTATGCTTTAGATATACTGAGCAAGATAAGCTGGGCTGGGCTGGTCAGATTTAATCAGAATGTGTTCTGACTCTTTGGAGAATTAACTAATAAGAAGTGTGGGAAAGCATGGGCTTATTAATGATTTCTAAATATTTATTTGCATATAACGGAATGAGATTTGTTGTTTGTCTGTACCTGTCTGATCGTGCACTGCAGTAATCCTCGCATTAGTTTGACCACACTCTACAGGGTGAGAAGAGACACAGAACAAGAGAGAGAGATAGAGAGCAGTGAGCCTTGACTGTGACCTTAAACTCTCCATCTGGTATGACCATGAAAGAAACATGAGCCAAATGATTTGCCCTCTGGCATTTTACATGGTCTCCCAGACACAAACACTAATGAGCAGAAAATAGTACATGTCTTGGACATGGTCAGACATGGTCTCTAATGCCCTTTGACAAAATTGTATAGTTTTGTTTGTATCTCAACTCACTACGTATGCAAGAACCGACCTGCTCCAGTTCATAGGCTTTGGCTTTGTCTTCATCTCTGTCTGCATTCTTCCTGTAGGCCAGACTTAGAGCCCACACAGACAGGATGCAGTACACATTGTCTCTAACCCAGGCGTGAGGTAACGTCTCATCTCCTGGGAGTAACCCTGTCACCGGATCCTGCAAAATATCATAAGGAAGCATATATATGGCATTATCCTGAGGGTCTACCATACTCAAATCAAATATATTGATTGTATATGGGACAATTTAAAGTGTCACCAATGGCCTGGCCTATGACATTTAAAGCATATGACACTTTAAAATCTATGCCTGTATTTTAAATCTTTATAAATTGTTCATTTGCACAATCCTGTTGCATGACGGAAATAACAAATAATGAATTCCAATAAATATTCTCAAATGCTCAGTAACCAAAGTCAAACTGTAAACTATGAGAAAAAGAAGTGTGCATAAATTGTATTGGATGTGCACTTGTAGTGTACTTAAAATCCTAAAAATATATATATATTAAATGTACTTAATATGTATAAAAAAATTGCTTAAAATGTACTTAAGATAATTTCATATTACTGAAATAAATGGCCACCTTAATGTACATAAAGAAGTGCATATTCATGACTATTTTTCTCACCATCATGTCATTCCAAACCTGTAAAACTTTCTTCTGTGGAGCACAAAAGGAAATATTTAAAAGAATGCTGATTACTAAATAATTTCTGTTTCCATTGACTTCCATTGTATGGACAAAAAATAAAATGGAAATCAACTGTTTGGTTATTAACATTCTTCAAAATATATTATTTTGTGTTCAGCAGAGGAAATAAACACATACAGGTTTGAAACACCTTCGGGGTGTGTAAATGATGACAGAATTTTAGTGACCTGACCCTTTAAGTGCACTTAATGAACTTTGAATTATAATTTGGACTTTTAAGTACATTTTAAATCACTGTTTTAATAATATTTTGTCATGCTTTGAAGTACACTTATTTTCTAAATATAAAATACTAAAGCACACTTAAAACTTAAAATTACACTTAAAGTTAATATATTTTGAATGTACAAAATTACAACTTCATCATTACAATTGCGTAATTATATATGTATTTAAATACATAACATACAAGTTTAAAAAAATGACATTGAAGTATATTTTAGTTTGCCATAAATGTTTGTCAGTATATTCACCAGTACACTTTAATCACATTTCAAAGATAGCCTTATAAAATTACATATAAAAATGCATTTAAGTCCTACTTAATTGGCTAAAAGCACTCTTAAATTCAACTAATTGTGTTTAAAATGAATATAAACTATATTAACATTACATTCAGTTTGCACTTTAAGCGTATTATTTTTAAGTGTATTATTTGCTTACTTAAAAGTATGCTAAAGTGTAGGCCTACTTCTTTTTCGCAAGACTGTTACACTGCCATTTCAATAGATGTCAACACTGCACGTGTGTGTGTGTGTGTGTGTGTGTGTTAGTTTGTGAACCAAGAGCAACACAACACGTGCTGTTCCCATAAAATCAGAGAAAGTGAGATGATTTTAGACTCACCTGGTGACAGAGGATTGTCTGTTGCAACATTCTGGCATAGTTGTCGAGTTTCACTCCGGAATTACTGCGACTTCTCATTATGGTTGCTCTCTATAAGCAGTTTATCTCTACAATCTCACTAGCAGTTTGAGTTTAGTTTAGCTGCCGGTGGTCCAGTATCAAGTGTAAGGCAGGCAAATGTCAAAGCCTTAAGGACGAGTTGTTCAGTAGTATCTGTTACATCAGATGATGTAACTGGTGTTGAGGCGCACCCTATCTTATATTTACAGGTGCAGTTTTCATCCAATATTGAAATAAAATCAACAGTATAAATTAAAATAGAATAATTTTTTTTTAAATAACATAATATATACCTATAATGCAGCACACTGAGCAAAATTATGCCATATCCACATCTTGTTGACATTTAAAAAAAAAATTTAAATTACAGTTATGAAAATGTTAACGAAAGGGGTTACATCTGAATATTTTCACTCACACACACACACACACACACACACACAGACTTGATTTATTTATTTCCCAAATTCCAGTGACTGCTGTAAAATATGAGACTCCAATGTTTCAGGACACAGAATAGAACACGTTTTATTGCTTATTTGGGTTTATGCTTTATATTTTAACATTAACAGTTTTTTTCCAAAGGATTGTTAGATGGTAGTGTTTCCTGGCATAGCTATCCAAAGACAACATAGCTGTTAAACTATATCTTATGATTTCAAATCTGTGTTTAACCTCCGATCTCAAAGTAAAAAAGAGGTGATAAAGTCTGATTTTGTGGTGGCTGTGCTTTAAAAATACATTTGTATAATCTTAATTCAAGTGCTAATTGAATTTTGAGAAGTCTGACAGTGATTAGTGTTGAGTGCTACTGGTTAACCCTGCCTGGTTTAAATGTTTCACAATGATTAACAGTTGAAAACATTCATGACATTTAGAAAAGTATTTAAAAAGTCATCAAATATAATGAGTTACATTAATATAGTAGTTGAAATAGTTACACTACTTAAAGGGGTCATATGATGCTGCTAAAAAGAACATTATTTGGTGTATTTGGTGTAATGTAATGTGTTTATGCGGTTTAAAGTTCAAAAAACATTATTTTCCACATACTGTACATTATTGTTTCTCCTCTATGCCCCACCTTTTTTAAACGCGTCGATCTTTACAAAACTCATCGGTCTGAAAAAGCCAGGTGTAAAGGCATAAGGTCTTTCTCATTTTGTATATCCATCTTTATCTTTATTTGTTGAGAACAAAATTGCCAAAGTCATCAACAATATTTTTTTAGATTTCATTTGGAAAAAGAAACCTCACAAATTAAAAAAAGAGGTGCTCTCTAATTGCAGAGCAGAAGGAGGTATTGATTTTTTAGATTTTTCTGACATGATTAACATTTTTAAACTTAATTGGCTTAAACGATGTCTTGCCAATCCAAGATCCATTTGGTACTTTAACCCCAACCAAATATTTGGAAAAATTGGTAGCCTTTCCTTTATTTTAAACTGCAACTATTTACCTTCTAAGCTACCTATTACCTTGTCCAAATTTCATCAGCAATGTCTCCTTGCTTGGAAACTGTGTTA